GCGCCCCGGCGTCGGTCCAGGCCCCCGGACCCAAGCGGCGGCCGATGCGGCGCCAGGCACACGGGCACTTCACGCAAGGACGTAGGGGTGACGCACAGAAATCCCAAAACGAAAAGGGGAGGTGGAGTCTCCGGGTTTGCCGGCGGTGTCTGAACGAGCACAGAAAGGCACGGCGCCTGCCCCCCCGGCCAGCCGCAGTCTGGAGAAGAAGAGGAGGATGCTGAAGGCTCACCCTCGAGTCTCGGGATTACAAAAGCTGAGAACTACAAAACTAAATACAAAGGGGAGAACCAGCGCGTGAGCGAGCCATTCGCTCTCCGGTGCCGGACCCTGGCGCTCCCTGCGCCGTGCCGTGGGGTTCGTTTCGCTTCCTCCCTTCCGGCGCCAGACCGCCCGCGGGGAGACCCGGGGGGCGGCTGCCCCCCGCGCTCGGCGCTCCCGTGCTCCTGCATCGGCGGCTTGCCCAGGCTGCTCCTCACACCTTGTAGTAAATGTTGGCTGGGGGCTGGGGGGGCATCTCCTGGACAATGTAGACGGGGTGCCCGTAGTCCCCGCTCACCTTCTCGTAGTGCGGGCAGTAGTTGTTCTCTGTAGTCCGTAAAGGGATGATGATGTCGCTGGGCTCGGAGCCCGCGTTCCCGCTGCATTTCGGGCTGGCCAAGGTGCTGAGGGACAAGGCTGCGGCTCGCTGCTGCGTGTGCTTCCGGTGCCGCTTGCGGATCTTGATCAGGAGGACGACAAGGAAGATGATGATGAGGATGAAGATGACGCAGCCAGCACCGATCGCTGCAAAGACAGCCACCTTGGAGCTCAAGAAGCCGTCGCTGGGACCTTGGGTCTCCTGGCCATCCTGGTTGACGGAGCCTGCAAGGCAAGGGGAGAGGGGTGTCAGAGCCCGGAAGGCAGTCTGCGCCCCACCTCGGCGAGAGGCTCCACGCAGCTGGTTCCATGCTCCATCCGTGCACGGATCACACCCTGTGGGTGGGCGAGCCGTCGATCACAGCAGGCTCTGGGCAGGGCCAGCAGGAGCCCTGGGCATCCACAGAGAAAGGACAGACCGTGTGCCCTCTCCCCCACCCCACATCTCTGCTCCCCTTTTCCATCTCCCAGCCGACGGAGCAGAGCACTGCCTGTGTCCAGGTGACAACCAGTCTGGACCCCAGGAGACTTTGCTCTCCACAACAGACCTGGATGCTGTGGTGAAGGCGGGCTCGGTGAAAGTGGGCTCTGATACCTGGGGCCCTGCGATATCCGATTACTGACCCCCCGCCTCCTCCTGACCCCTGGGCCGGGGCAGCCCCAGCCCCCCGAAGGGAGAGCGCTTGGCTTGGCCGCACCAGGCGAGAAGAAAAGAGCAACTCTTCCCCACTTCATCTGATTTCACTTTTCTCTCAGCAGGGTCAGGAACTCAGGAAACCACCTTCAAAGGGCTTTCACACTGGCTCAGCTCAAAAACCCGAGGACCTCACCTCCTCCAAGCCCTCTCAGATGTTCTGCAAGGAACAGATGGGCAGCGAGGAGGAGGAGGAGGAGAGTGCTGAAACAGCACTTCCCTGCAAAGCTCCTGCCAGGACATACCGGAGCTGGGAAAACAAACCCGAGCTGCTCCGTACCGCAGTCTGGCTGCCTGCGTTGGGCCCCGAGTGGTTCCCGGCCAGAAAGCACAGGGCTGGGGTGAGGAGATGCTGCGAGCAGCAGGGATGGGCGAGATGGGCACAAGCTTACAGGAAACCCATCCACTCTCTGCTCCAGAGCACCCGGTATCCCTGGGATCCATGCGACAAGCCCAGCTAGGAGCTGCTCCGCTGGCAGCGGCTGCTGGCCAGCCTCAGGCCCCACCAGCAGGCATAGCCCCCATCTCTCTCCTGGGTTGTCCCCGGCAAAACCCACCCGGCTTGCCGGGCTCCTCCACCGCGGGGATCTTGCTGCGCGGGCTCTGTGTGACAATTTTCACGGTGTTGTCAGACTCCTTGCTCGGCCGACTCGTCGTCAGCTGCTCCGGGATTACCGCATTCGGATCTGGGGAGGAAAGGAAAGGGACAGATGAAAACCTCGATTCAACTTAAAAGGCAATAGCTCATTCCCCCACCTAAAGAACAACTGTCCCCAAAATCCCAGCTGGACACACCCCAGAGGGCACAAGGGAGAAGCAGGAACGACGTGAGCAAGGCTGAGCTGCTACAGGGCTTGTAGGAAGCAGCTTTGCCACCCTAACCCCCCCTGCTTTTATGTTTTCTGAGTTCCCGTGCGTGGGTTGGGGTGAGTTTCTCGCACGGGCAGCGGGAGGAATGGGAAGGGAGCCTGCCAAGGCTGCAGCACTGCTGCTTCTGTTTATTATAAATATTGGCCCCAAAGTGAAAACACAATAATGAAAAGCAACCACCAGGAGCTCTGCATCGGGGGCATCACCGGGGCTGGGAGGCACCCAGCAGCTCGGGACAGGAGGTGTTGGGGAGCTCCCCCTCGGGAGAAGAGCACACTCTTCTCCTAGTGCCACAGCACCACCGTCAGTGATACCCTCGGTGTCCTTCTGCCACCATCAGCTGGGGCTGTCCCCACAGCGCAGTGGCCACCGCTACACAGAGGCCTCAGTTTCCTCCAAATTCAGACACCACCACCCCACCCCCCCAGCAAGACAGGGGCCAACGCTTTGTTGGATAAAGGCATTTTGGCAACAGGACACCCCAGGGCGCAGAAGGACTCACCCTGCCCCACTTTCATGACAATCTTCATGGAGCGTGTCTGGCAGACTCCTCCTTCCCGGTTCTCCAGGCCATCCAGTGTCCCATTGGAAGTGGCTGTATGAAAAGAGAGGGAGCATTAGGCAGGGTTCAAAGAGAGGGAGCGTGAGGCAGGGTTCCTGGGAGCTGAAAGGTCCCCGCTGGGCAGGTCCCCACTGTCCCCAGGCACCATGAGGGACCTGGCTGGAGGTTGGCACCTTCAGATGCCAGGGCTCACCCCTGACCCCCCGCTGCAGCCATTCCTTCGTGTCCCAGTCCAGAGCCCACCGCAAGCGTTTAATACGCCGAGGTCTCATTTTCTGCACCTTCCAAAGATGTTTGCAGTAGTGAGGATGTGATCCCTCCAGCTTCCCCTCGCTGCCACATCTACACAAGCGAGCCATTCTCCGTGCCCGCACCCTCCTCCCCCTTTAATTCCTGGATAATTTCCTTTGCTCCTTGGTGTATAATAGGAACACATGCATATGCACAGTTTAAATTATACATATATAATTACACAGTGTGCCTCAGTAAAGAATGTAAACTCAGAGCCCCAATGGGGTTGAGTGGCTTTAATTGCAGGGCAGAAGTCAGTTAAATTCACATTAACTTTTTGCTTTAGCCGGCACAGATTTTTAAGCCTTTCAATCCTGCGGGAGCGCAGGAAGCCGTACGTCTCCCACTGCCACCACGTAGGAAAGGACACTCACCCACGTACCCGCCAGCCCTCTGCCGCGGCAGGGACAGCTCGGGGCAGGGGGTACACGAGAGACAAAAAACCCAGACCAGAGGATGACAGGATTAAGCACCTAAATGACAGATTCTGCTGAACATACTCAAAAAACTGGCTTCTGACCCCAAAAGGGCCCTCGTCACCGGCAGCGGCAGCACCCGGGGGATGCTGTGCCAAGCAGACGGGTGATGCAGTGGGTGCAGGGCGGCTCTGGCACACAGCCTGCTCTCCCCGCTTCTCAAGCCGGCACAGCACCTCCATCCATCACAGCAAACACAAATCATCCCGGTGTTCCACCAAGTCCAGGCACGGGGATTTATTCACCTGGGAGAAGTCCGGTGACGGCACACAGCATGAGCAGGGCTTAGGAAAGGCGATGCAGTGAGAATCCCAAAGCTACAGGGATAATTTTACAGAGACGAGGCAGTAAAGCAAAGCAGGATTCGGCCAGCACAGCGCAGCCAACACCTACCCCGAGCCTCAATGCCAAAACTCAGCCCTGGGGTTTCAGGTTGCCTGTGCAGCCCAATTCCTGCCTCCACCCCACAAAAACTTGGGTTTGGGGAGGGCGAGTGCCTGATGGCCAGTGGGGATGAATCCATTAGACCCCACTGGGTGCTGGCGAGGAGGCGATGGGAAGAGGCTGGGTTATGGGGCAAGGTTTTTCTTTTTCTTTCTTCTGTGCTCCTTTTCCTGCAGCAGGACCCTCACGTGCCTCGATGAGGACTCGATGCTGGGCTACGCTGGAAAGCCAACCTGGATCATGCCGGGATGCAGGCACAAAGTCCGTCAGCTCTGTCCAAATATCTCTGCGCAATCAAGGCTCTCGTGTGAAACACCAGCAAATGTTTTATTAATCAAAAAGTGGTTGGGCCGTTTGCTGAGTTATCGCCTCTCCTGCGGCGGGGTTGCGCCTGCCAGCAACTCCCTGGACAGAGCCGTACATCCACGCATCTGGGATTCGCTGGCGGGCGTTTTGTCAGGAGCACTGTCAGCACAAATCCTGACACAAACGCCTGGGAAACTGGAGAAACACTCCCCTACAGAATGCATAAGCTTTTCCCAATGCAAACCAGAGTCAGGGACCTGTGCAAAAACTCCCCATAAAAACAACTCCAGGAGCTAACTCTGGCAGAAGGCACAGTGGCCCAGTTCTCCCAGGCCAGAGGCATTGGTTTTGGGATGAAATAAGCTGATAACGTCCCAGCTTATGGCCCTGAAGCAGTTCCACGAACAACTTCCCAGCACCATGCCACGGGTTGCTCCATCTCAAATAGACTTTACCCATTCACACTGCAACACAGAGAGGCAGCGGAAAACAGCAGTCTGTAAAAGCCAGCCTCTGTGAGACCTCAATAAGGTCTTATAAATAAGGTAATAACGTAATTATATCAAAACAATCTACAGAGTAAGTATGACTCGAGTGTGGGGAACTAGAAGATCCTGCAAAAGTAGAGCATGCAGCAGTAACGGGAGACATAATTTCCTCCAAAATAACTATGGAGATGTTGCATTCGGCTATGACTAAAATATTAAACATCCAAACAAGACAGAGGAATGGCAGCTGGAGCCACAGGGACAGACGAGGGTACGCAGCTGAGCATCCTTCCTCCCAGCCGTGCGCAGGACTTTGTTCAAGAAGCCTCTTCTTGTTCTGATCGTAATAACGATGAGGGGAGAAAGTACCTTTGAAAGGGAACTGCATGAAAAAAAATGAAGTAGCTACTTGAGGAAACATAAAAAGGGCAGCTAAAAGGGTGAAACACTTGCAAAAACCATGGTGATTGTCTCCGGTACAGCCTCTCGAAACAAGGACACACGCTGCCATGTTCTGTACAGATCCAAAATGGGCGAAATCAAAGCAAAACAAGATGCTCCACACAGCCGGTCGGGCTTCCAAAAGTCAAAATCCCATCCAAATGGCTAAAAAGAGTACAGCTTCTGGAGAGTTTTCTATAAACATGTAGGACAGACTGATGTGTTGCTGAGCAGTAGGTCTGCAGGCGGGCAGGGGGCTGCGGCCGGGGGGTCCCCACCAACCCCATGGGTGGGGGGGCTGCAGTGGCAGCACTGCAGGCTCCTCCATTGCGTTTCACTGCAAAGCTCAGAGACGAGAGCTGATCCTCATATCGTTTCTTGTTTTCACAGTGGAAGATTTACCAGCAGAAGGCCACAGGATCAGGCCCGCGGCTGGCACCGCTTCAGCAGAGACGCGCAATCCAGGAGGCACGTGGCGAGCAGCGAGATGGAAGCCCAAAGCATCTGTGATACTTGCTGTTGCGCTCGCAGAAGAGCGGCGGAGACACCACCGATCCTCTTTGGTGCGTGAAAGTTATCATCAACAAATGCACAGTAATGCTGGGAAGAAAAAGGTTAAATCCACGGGCACAACAGTGGGCTGCCAGGAGAGCTGAGAGGCAGCCCTGAGCCTGGGGAGAGGTGGACCGAGGGTGGTAGCATGAGGCAGAGCTATAAAACGACACAGGAAGACAGGCAGGGAGCTGGGGGTACCAGGGGGACTAGGAAATGGCAGGTCTCAAACATCGGCCGTGCTTTTCACATGCCGCATTGGCAGTGCACAGCTCCGTCGCACCAGCAAGGCTTGATGCGGCCAGTCCCAGCAGCACTGAGTGTACAGCAGTGTCTTCCTCTCCCCCTTCCATTTTGAGGGACTTACAGTTTGGCTGCAGGATCGGGGGAAGCAAAAGCAGCCTCTGGACAGATGACTTCTACTCAGGCTTAAAGAAAAGGCAGCTCCCAGCCCAGAGAGCTATTAGATGCCTTTGCCTTAATGAAGCATTAAGCCTTAGGCTGCTGAGTGATGAGGATTTAACATTGATACCATTAACCATGTAATTGCTTGTCAATTTAGAAGAGATGCTCAGCCTGCGTGGAAGCACAGGCAGGACCTCCGCTTGCTGGCACAACTCACCCCGGTCCTCAGGCACGAGACCAGTGAAATGCCAAGTCCCAGCCCGGTGCCACACGCCAGCCAGCCGGGACAGACGCCTCTGTGGGGAGGAGAGCCCCAATAACCTCGCGTTTCCACCTCCAGCAGCAAGCGGCACCACATGCTGGCCCTGGTACATCACACTCTGCCTGCCCCCACCAGCACTCGAGAGTGTCACCGAAGCTTTTCTTCCTCCCCTAAAAATATTTCAAATGTGAACTTGGGTTTTGGCAGATGGAAGACTCTGGAAGTAATACCTGGCAGCAGATGAAGGCAAGGGTCTCTTAAATGGTCAGCTTTGGACAGAGCGAGACGTTTGGTTTCTCTTCTGGATTCCCTCTGGCAGGACTCCGTTATGATTTGGACCCCAAAGCACAATTAATGTGCTGAGACTGTAGCGAATCCAAGTCTCTTGCCTTTTATTATTCTTAATTACTCTTCCATCTGTGCACCACAGCCCTGCTCCAGACCCAGCCAGGCGCTGCACGGACACAGCCCGGACACCCTCCCCGTGATTCCCCCCTCGCTCCCAGACCTGTCCAGGATTCACGTTTCCATTGCACAGCCTTAGGCGGAGGCGGCAGCATCCCACCGGCACCCCTGCTGCTCGCGGTCAGGGCTATGGGGTGCCCCCGCAGCCTGACCCTGATCCCATCGTAGCAGACGGGGTGGTGGGAACACGCTGACCGACCCTGCGGAGGGGCAGCTGGGATAAAACAGGCTCAGATCAGCCGCAGCTCAGCCAGGACACCCACACCAGGCTGAAAGCCCCTCTTGGCGTGGGTAAAGACCCTTCGGGTGGCTCTGAAGATGTGCCTCACACATCTCCGGTGTGCTCGGACACTGCGCCAGCAGACCCTTGCACGGATCTGCAAGACGACTATTTAAAATAAAAATCTACTTCATGCCACCTTCCCTCTCCTCCAAGACCTTCAAGTTGTTTCATGCACCCTCAGTACCGAGGCGCGGGTGTTGCATTGGTAGAGGTGTTGCACCCGTACGGGTGTCGCGACAGCAGAGGAGCTGCACCGGTGCCCGTCACGGGGCTCCTTCCTCCCCCCATCCCGGCCAGGGCTGGAGGACCTGCAGAGCTACTTCCAGGCCACCGAGCAGACGCATCCGCCTGCTCCACTGCACACCAGCGCCCCAGGGCTGCCCGGAGAGCATCGCTCAGCCGCAGCCCCTTCTCCTCCTCCTCCCCAGCGCAGCTGGGAGGCAGCAGGGGCAGGCAGCCCCACTGCACGCCGCTCACCCATTATTATTATCATTATTTCCTTACCAGACCCTGCTGAAGGGAGGCAAACCCACCGCCCCCTCCCCGCACACATCACCCCTAAGCCCCGCTGCCGGCGCGGCACGCCGGGCACCAGCCTTCCAGCCCAGAGGCAGCTGCAC